TTATTGTATGTATATGCATATTGTTCAAAATAATTGAAATAAATGTATTTAAAAAACTAGTTGTTTGAAACTATCATGAAACTACTGAGTGTGGCCAAGGTCTCACTATATAAGGTTGTATACCTGGTCTTGTTTGGTCAGTTTGTGAAAGCTGCTGTTACATTTGGGTTTATTTACTGTGAACAGATTCTGGGTTTTTTGGTGGCTATGTATTAACTGGGTCAGACAAGAGTGGTCTTGTCCATCATAGCTTAATAAAGAATGGTTTCATTGTGTGTGTTGCATAAATAAAAAGATGGTCGTCTTGTTTATTGGATTGCCTGTTGCATATCTTGTATGACAAACTGATTTTTTATAAAATGATCCATCAATTAACGTTACATAATCAATACTTAAAACTCTCTTACTCCTCTTTAACCTCTTGTAAAAAGCGGACATAAACAGAACTATTGTCTTGACTCCACATGGCACAGAGTTTAGACTCCAGGTGTTGAAAATAGTAATTATAATTATAACAGTTCAGGTGGGTACACAGCTGAAACGTTGTGTTTTCTTGCTTATTTTTTTCAGCATGGAATAAACCTATTACGTGTTCCTTTGCATAACTATAACAGGCCATGTTTCCCCTACAGCTCCATTGTTCACACCCACACACAAACAGTGTCTCTTCTACTCAAACCCTGTTTCTTCTCAGCAGCAGAACACTGCATGTCATAATCTGCCGGTGTGTTTAAAATAAGATCACTTTATTGTCCATATACAATTTCTTATATTAGGAATTTATTTTTGCTCTCCATGAGACACACACACAGGGAGAGAAGCTTGGTGTTAGAGTACAGGGTCAGCCATTTACACAGCGCCCCTGGAGCAGTTGGGGTTAAGGGCCTCACTCGGGGGCCAAATAGAGTAGGATTCCTCTGCCAGCCACAGGCGTAGATCCTTAGCCACAGAGTCAACACCCTGCCCTTACTTAACTTCACTAATAACACTGCACAATATGGGCCGGTAATACAAGTTTTGTGCAGAGGGTAATGTACAGTAGCAGAAGGACCACTTCTTTATCCCATAAAATGCTGGACATGATCTTGCCAAATTCCATTGCTAGTGGAATGGAATTTCTGCAAATGCTTCAATTTTAATCCTGGGCCCTACGATGAACCCACACTTCATAATCCGTGTTCCGTTTTGACACAAACCCTGCATAATAGGTGTTGATCTTGCATGTCACACATCTGCCAGAATGTTTTGAGACTCCAAGGTGTCCTAAATCAAAGTGTTCCTGTCCTGGTCCTGGTGACCTACACACTTGCCTGATTTTAATGAAACTCTTAGCTAAACTATGGATCCTTTATTTCACTCAATACTATGATCATTTAAATCTCTTTGACTGATTCCAGCCTTTAAAATTCTTGGGAGGTGCATTGTAACTATTAATTATTGCATTTTATAATTAATATACAATTCCTAACTTCTGAGTAAAAGAAAAGTTTACAAATGTTTCAGTCACATACATTTTTGGTTCAATTAACTCTTCAATTTATTAATTATGCTTGACTGGAATGTAAACGAATATGAATGTGGTTCTCCAGGTCATAGTTAGTTTCCTAGAATTTCCTGTTCTAGAAAATAGTACAGAAAAATAGAGTCTTTTGTAAGTTCTTCCATGTTGCTTTAGCCACCAGACATCATCAAGTCTTCTATGGTTGTTTTTATTATACTGTTTGTTGTTTGATTTATTCATCTTCTTAGTAGTTAACACATAAACTTCTAGTGCATTTGTATTCTTTTCTTCTTTTCTAAACCTTATTTCCTTTTACTAATTCTGCAAAAGTTCCTCGTAGAACACAAGTCTGGAATGGAAACCAGTGCTGTAGTATTACCTGCCAGCAATGCCAACCACTGTGCCAGCGAATAGTGAAAATACACATCAAAGTCATTAGGTAAATAAATCAAATCAATCTAAATGTATTTCTTGAGCAAAGGGTTCTAAAGAAGGCTAACAGCATTACAGTATGTGCTACACAACCCCTCATCTGAGAATTTACACTATTCTCATCTAGAAGATGCCTCTTTGCCCCAAAATGTAACAGAAATAGACTTGGAAATCAACACATCTCAAATCAACATCTCATCGCAAC